CCTTAAATTAAAAAAAAAAAAAGATATTCAAAGAAATATGTTTAAAGAAAGGGATTACGTTTAATTGATTAAACTGGTTTAGACACCTATTAAAATGTACTGTATTGAACACATTCCTGAAATCTGTAAAACAAAAGATTTCTAAGCTTTAGGAGTTTGGGTGAATGAAGGTTGTTTTTATTAATGTAGAAAGCCTTCCCCAGTGATATTTGTGTGATCTAGTACTTTCCCACTATCACAGCTGTTGGTGCTAAGTGCATTGAGGTCCGACTCACAGCGACCTCTACAGGGTTTCAAACTGACGTTGCGGTTTATCTTCCATCCTCACCCCAGCTCATTGGTAAGCAAATCCAGCACTAAAACTGGAGCTTCTGAGTCCCAATCCAGTGTTCTTTTTACTATACGACAAACTCAATGAAATAAGAATCAATAAAATAGGAGATCTGGACTCACACAGAAGCATTTTTGTAGTTAGATAGATTTATGTCATACCAATCTTAGCATATTTCAACAACTAAGAAAACATATGTGAAAATAAATGCTTTCACGATGTGCTTGATGAACAAGTTTACCATACGTCTATTGTTTTCAGGTTTGTGGCACTGTGGGTTAATGAGACAGACTGCAAAGCCATTTGAACTGCAAGGTCGGTGGTTCAAGCTCACAGCTGCTCCTCGGAAACCCTGTACAGGGTCGCTATGGGTCAGAATCGACTCGACAGCACTTAACAACAACAACAGATTATCTGGAATTTTAAAATTAAACTTACCAACGGGGACAAATGGTGACTCTTTAGCTTTTCGGATAAATTTTGATCCCTGATCTTCATCATACGAAGAAAGAGAAACGTCTGTGTTGGATGACATAGTGATTGAAGAATCTTCCTGAAAAAAAAATTTTCATGAGGTTCTATCATTAAAAGCATCAAGGACATTTTAAGGTGTACTTAAAAACTCCTAGTTTCTAATGTTGGTAAGTGCTGTTGAGTTGGTTCTGACTCATTGTGGCCCTGTACAGGGTTTCCTAGGAGCAGCTGGTGGGTGTGAACCACTGAACTTGCAGTTAGCAGACCAGTGCTTACCCTACAGCATTACACCAGACACCTATGTAAAACCTGGTATGGATTTTTCTGAATACTTTTACTCTCTATTACCTCTACGGGGAGTCCTTGGGTGGCATTGTAGGATAAGTGCTGGACTTAGTTGTTGTTTAATGCCATAGAGTCAGTTCCAACTCATTGTGACTCTGTACACAGTTTCCAAAGCTTAAAAAAAAATTTTTTTTAAGTTTTTATTGTAAATTGAGTGAAAGTTTATAGGGCAGATTATCAGTTTTACAGTCAACAAATCATATACTTTGTTTCATTACAATGATTATAATCCCCTACATGTACCATCAGTTAACAGTATTTCTCTCTATTCATTTTAGCTTTTTTAACACTCAGGCTTATATAATAAGTTAAACCACCAAAGGGCACATTCTGCAAGTCTGCCTCCTTTACTCCAGCTCTCAGTCCCTCTCTTTCCATGAATCTAGAGTCCTCAGCTGCTCCCTCTCTCCATGTCCCCATCTCTTCCTCCATCTCTGATGTTGCTGCTTCTCTGTATTTGTTGTTGTTGTTAAGATAGCGACCCTGTACAGGGTTTCCGAGGGTGTAAATCCTTACGGGAGTAGAAAGCCTCATCTTTCTCCTGCGGAGCGACTGGTAGTTTCAAACCGCTGACCTTAAGGTTCGCAGCCCGATTTGTAACCACTAAGCTACCAGAGCTCCTTGCTTCTCTGTATAGGGTCCCACATTCCGCTTGTGATCTTCTCCCTTGATGGTCTTAGGTTCATCTGTTTCTGGACTGTAAGATTAACTACTTTCCCTATTTTGTTACAAAACTTCTACCTTTACAATTAGTCATGATAACACTATTGAATAATAAGAATCTTATCCCCATCTCTTTTTACAAGATGAAAACTCTTCAGTGGGATCTCTATTTTCCCCCACACACTCTTAAACTAAACTCCTTCTTGAAAACATGTAAGCCAGTCACTTCATGCCTTTATCGCCCCTCACTTAAGGTTGTTGTTGTTGTTAGGTGCCATCAAGTCAGAGCCAATTCATAGGACCTTTATGCACAGCAGAACGAAACACTGCCCGATCCTGGGCCAACCTCACTATTGTTGCCACGCTTGGGCCCATTGACACTGCCACTTTGCCAGTTTGTCTAAATTGCCTGTCCCTATATACCCTGTATACAAATGGGATAGGCTTGATCTTTGATGTGAAGACTTCTTCCCTCTCAGTTGATATTTTGAGCTGCTACATCCATGAGTATAGGGTCAAGTTCATTAAATTGTAGCAATTTACCCTCATTTCCTTTATCAAACATTTTTTTTTTAATCTTCCTCCAGTTGAATTCTGATTATCAAGCCATCAAGGCTAGGTCAGATGGGTACTGTCTGCAAGTTTGGGTGTTCTTGTGCGTCTCCCTTCACTTCATACCAGCTGGATGCTTCACTTTCAGCTCTAGCCCTCTGTGGCTATGTCCTTGTGGGCTTTCAAAATTTCTGTGGGAGCAGAAAGTCTTATCTTTCTCTTAGAAGCATAGACTTTGTGGTTCACAGTCCAGTGCTAATTGTATGGAGCCACCTCTCTACCTTGAAAACCCTATACAGAGGCACTGTGAGTCCAAACTGACTTTCGGGCACTTCACATCACAGCTGGGAGATTTTTATATATTTATCCAGATGATGCACCAGACCTCAAGTCAGTTTAAACTGCAAGGTTGGCAGTTCAAATTCACCAGCTGCTCCTCAGAAACTACAACAGGGTTACTGTGAGTCAGAACTGAGTCGAAGGCACTTAGCAACAACAACATAGTTTTGAGGCTTCTTCTCTACAACCATACTGAAAAGACTGTATGTTTATAGTTTTGTTGCTATGTGCCGTGGAGTCGGTTCCGATTCATAGCGACCCTGTACACGGTTTCCGAGGCTGTAAATCTTTACGGGAGCAGAAAGCCTCCTCTTTGTCCCACAGAACAGCTGGTAGTTTCGAACTGCTGACCCTGAGGATAGCAGCCTGATTTGTAACCACTACACTACCAGAGCTCCTTTGTTTTATGTTTAGCACCATACTAAAAGGAAAACAAAGCCCCTGAAATTAGTTTCATCAATAAAATACCAGCTATTAATTTTCCGGCTTTCTTCATCCTCATCAGCTTCAACTTAACTACATTAAATGACTTGGACAAAACTGATTCTTTTTTATTTCCTCCTCAATAGCACTCTTTGTGTAGTGAGTAGCCTTAATTGCTTTCAACTGCTACTGACTCATTTGTTCCACCAAGCTACTTGTATTTAATTCTAATCTCTCATGTTTCCAGCTCATTACACTAATCTTTATTATTGATGGCGGCAGTCTTTGGAGAAAAGATTACAGCCACTGTGAACAGTCAAAATTTCTACCTAGCTCATCATTTACTCTTTGAAGAACAAAAGTTTTATTTAAAAAATACTGTTTCTAGACGTTAATACAAACCTTTTTTAGTTTTGGGGATTTAAGACTATCATTTTTAACACCACCATAGCATAAAACTGAAATACCCTCAGTTGCAGCCCAAACGAGCCATGGTGATACAGTGGTTAAGCATTCACCTGCTAAGCAAAAGGTTGGCAATTAGAACTAGCAGGCATTCCTCGGGGAAGATAAGACGTCTGGTACTGTGAACATTATGGCTTTGTAGCCTTGGAAACCCTGTGGGTCATCTCCCATCCTTTGGACATGTTATCAATATGGACCAGTCTTGAGGAGGGCATCATGCTTGATAAAGTAGAGGGTCAGTGAGAAAGAAGATCTTCAAGGAAATGGATGAACAGTTGCTGTAACTATGATTGTGAGAAAGGCTCAGGACTTGGTAGTGTTTGGCTGTTTTGTACATTACATATCTTGTATTCTCCCAGCTTCTCTCTTATAGCAGATGATTTTTTTCCCTCTCTGTACCTTCTTGTATAATATTCCTTTAAGTGGGACCAAAAAAAAAACACAATAGCCTGATACTGAATGTTTGTTGTTGTTAAGTGCTGTTAGGTTGCTTCTAACTCATAGCAACCCTGTACAGAATTTCCCAGGAGTCACTGGTGGGCTTAAACTGCCAACCTTGTGGCTAGCTGCCTAGTGCTTATCCTACAGAGCACACCAGAACCCAAGAGTGAATAGGAAGACAGAAAAAATATAAGTAAAGATATATTTCTATTATTACAAGGAGCAAAGGTTCTTCTCCCTTTTCAGTCATCTTCATCCATACAGGAAGCTAACATGTATTTCATCAAGAGTCAATAATAAAGATAATTTCCCCTTAGTCTTAGTAACTATGGATATACTTCCTTCTTTATTGAACTGATTTGACCAGCCTGTAAACATTACTCAGACAAAATAAGGGAGTCAAACATCCTATGTCAGTGCGTAAGTCACCGATTAGTGTCAGATACAAAAAATTTCAAGTCAACTCCCATATAAAATCCTACCCTCACTTCTGGGTTTTTCATGTGCATCATATATTCCATTAGTAATGGCTCTTATGCAACATCTTGCAACCCAAGGGAGGTTAGTGGTGGTTAAGGCTTCCCTCCAAACTACAGAAACGCTAGGGGTGAAGTTGCGTGCTTACGTTTGAAAAGTGCATTCACCCTTCCAATGCCCCACTCCCACTGTTACCTTGTTACCTGACAGATAAGAAAACCTTAACCCACAGCAGATGAGCAGTATTATGCAGACAGGAGGGAACTAAGATTACAACTAGACCTTTAACTTTTCTTTTTCTGTGCTCCATTACTTCCAGTTAAATAAATTCCTACTTGCTGTTAAGTGCCATCGAGTCAGTTCTGATTCATAGCTACCCTGTATACAGCATTTCCAAGGAGCAGCTGATGGGATTGAACTGGTGACCTTCTGGTGAACAGTCCAGTGCTGATCCTAAAGCACCACACTAAGACTCCAAATTCCTACTTCTTGTTGTTGTTAAGTGCCATTGAGTCGATTCCAACCCATAGCAACCCTGTATAGGGTTTCCACAGAGCAGCTGATGAGCTTGAACCATCGACCCTGCAGTTCAAATGACTTTGCAGTCTGACGCATTAGCCCACAAGCACCACAAATTCCTACTTACCGAGCTTTTATTATATATAAGGTTAAATAAGGCACCTTTAGGGAACTTACTATATATTTGAAAAGACATGAAGCATAAACTCTGAAATAACTTTCAAAAATTCATTTTTCTTTTAAAAGACAGATTACAGAGTGTGATTAATTGCCAATAGTGTAATAGAGACCACGATGACTGATTTTAGAGGGAGTGATGGCTTTTAGCTTAAAGGTATGGAGGTTTCTCAAGGCAAACTGAGACTGGCCTTGAAGAATTTTCATAAGTAGATTAGGTGGAAAAATTAAATATTGTATTTATTTTAGGCTGACAGTTTAATTAGTTGCCTTCATAATCTTAAGACATACTATTTATCACAAAGCCTCCATCTCCTCCTCCAATCCCACATGGCTACACACTAAACTTTTAGATGCTCTGTATACCTCCAAGCGTTATGTAAATTGATGCCTCTGCCAAACACACTTCTTCCCTTTCCCAACTTTCCCTCCCTTTCAGATACTCTTTTCTACCTAACTCTTCCATCCTTCAGGTTCTTACCCTAACAGACCTCCTCTAGGAAGTCGTCTTCAGCTCTATGAAATTACAAGTGTTCTGGTTTAGCAGTGCCATAGGACCCTGGGTGGGCAAGGGTGGCCATTGGTAGAATTCTCACCTTCTAAGCAGGAGGCCTAGCCAATGCAACTTACGTTCAGCCACAACCCAACTGTCAGTGGAAGCTT